TTAAGGTCTAACCGAGTCTTGCAATCCTTAGAAGGTATTATATGTTTGAACTTGACAATTGGGACCCTGAATGCGATGTATACAATGCGAGACTTGGGTATACCATTCTTCCACATTCAATGTCAATTGTTTACGCTTTTAGAAGAACTTATGATTTTTACTTTTACAAGTGCCAGTGACCTAACACATATTAAACTGTCATTTTCGTATGAGCCTTACTTTGTTCCGTCTTCTAATATTATGATTTCTATGAATCATCAGAATGGAATGCATTCTCTATGTCCAGCAGTCTGGTCAAAGCATAGAAGGTGGCTGTTTATGTCAATGCTTTGTCTCAATCCCCCAGCTTGTGTAAGTTGATAAAATTGTTTAATTATCTGGAGCTTTTTGTATTAGCTGAATACTTGTGAATTTTTTTAAAATCTGACATAGATGATATCATAGTGTTAGCTCAACGATAATTGGCATATGCTCCCTCCCTTGATTGGCCTCTGAGATTCAAATCTTCTGAGGTTCAAATCTTCATATAAGAAAATTGAAGACATATTTTCAACAAGAAACTGGCTTCGTGGTAGCTTTCATGGGGTCATTAAGTATATTTGGTCTTATTTTTGTTCATGTGTTATCCTTAGAAGGAAGCAAATTCTGTCAGGCTAGAGGCAATTGTTTGAATATAAAGCTTAGAACCGTTGCTTGTTTATCATAACCTTTGGATCAGTCGAGTAACATACCTCCCCCCTCCCTCCCTCCCAGTCCTTTGTTGATTTACAGTTCCCCAACGGGCAGTTGACTTATGTGTCGGGTGAAGGTTTAACTACAACTGCATTTTTGCCCTTTTGTGGAGGCCTCCTTCAAGCTCAAGGTCAATATCCAGGAGAAATGAGATTCAGCTTCTCTTGCAAGGTTAGTTATGTTCTTATTTCCTTCCTTCAAAAAGATGAAGAAAAAATTGTCTCTCCTTTTCAAATTCAATGTCCAAGAGAACTTATATGTCCCTCCCTTGTTTGTACTGGTTGATTTTCTTAGAATAAGTGGGGAACCCGAATAACACCAATTGTGCAAATGCCTGACAAATCATTTACTTTGGACCTTGCCCAATCATTGGCTTGGAAGAGATCAGGTCTTCTGGTGAAACCAACTATCCAATGCAGGTTAGTATACATGCTTATTCATTAAAGTTGAGTCACCTATGTTGATCCAATTACACCATAAATGTCGATTTGGACTTTGATGTTATCTATGAGCATTGGTTGCGAGTAAGGAATATAACCCCGCTCTCAGCAATGCTTTCACATGCCCAATACTTCAATCCTAGCCTGATTTATGTTGTTGTAGTTACTTGTCATACCTTAGTAATTTTTAGCTCGAGTTTATTTGGTAGTAGATTGTCATTCTATGTGTGAGGGTTAATCTCTTGTATTAGGAAGTTCTTTCAACACGTCCGGTTGGATGAGGATAGTTGGTTACTTAACTGCAAAAAAAAAAAAAAAAAAAAAAAAAAA